CCCCTACATACATGACTAGACTTATTCTGGTCTAATTAAAATTTAATATCTAGTCTCTAATGCTCGATTTTAGCGGGATGGGGGCGGGAATCTGAAAGTAAAGCTAGAAAAAAACCTCCAAAAATATGTTTTCACTGTAGAAATTCACTTTCACCCTAAAATCTCTCCCAAATCACTTTCACACTACAACCCCTAATTAAGCGGCAACTTCAATTCTCTTCGGAGTTCAGAAGGTTGCAAACTTCATCAGTTAGAACTCAAAAGGTAGCGAAATTCACCACTCCAAACTCAGAAGGTTGGCATCAAAATTTTGATTTCTTTCTCTTTTATCTGTTTAGTTTCCTTTTTTCTTCTTCTTATTTTTTTTCCATTGAACCAGAAATCAGAGTTCGGGTTCTGCAATTTTTTGTTTTTTTAGTTGTTTTCTGCAATTGGGTTGTTTAGAGTACTGATAGTTATAGTGTGAGTGATAAAAGTGAAAATATTGGTTTAAAGATGGGGCTCGTAGGTCAAAAAGGAGAAATTTGAGTTTTTCTTGTAGAGTTTCGTCTCTGCGAGGGTTTTCTCCTTTGCATTATACAAACAGAAGAATTGTTTGACGGGTCATGAGTTTGGGGTCGCTGCTAGCAGCAGCCCTACGTTCAAAAATCTTGTTATCCCCTAACTCCATAGCTATGGCTTATTCAATAAATAAAACCTGCAATTTAAAAAAAAAGATGGAAACTTCAGTCGGATTTCAAATGATTTGAGATAAAATCTATCAAAAATGGCTTGAATCACATTGCAGAATTTCTTTTGTGAAAAAAAATAGGATTCCACTAGTTAATGATAAAATCGGCTAGCGTTTTGGCGAAGTTGATTCGTAAAAGAAAGTGTAATGGCCAAGCTTGTTCACAAATCGTAGCATAATCTTTCAAATTAAGCTGAAAAGGAGAATATGTTGGTTTCACTGGTAACTTTTAGCTGTCTGTATAATGACTTTCCAATAATTCTAGAAGACTAACATGAGTTGCTCTTCCTCCTGATTTTCCATCAGATACCAGTGTGTACTATATTGCTCAGATTTTGTGTAGCCTGTATAAGTTCACCAACACAGCATGTTACGAAGATTAACATGTTCTGTAGCCTGTATAAATACTGATCATTTTACATAAGTTTTCCTTGTTTTCATTGACATGTACACTTAAATTAAATGAGTCTATGTTTGCTTAATAAGGGTCAAAATGTATTCCATTTATGTCTTACCCAAATTTTTATTGAAAGATTTGATTTAATACATGGATTTGAATAAGATCCTAGATGAAAAGTACTACCCACCGTTGCTTGCCTTGGATTGCACTTTTTCTTTTTTCTTTTTATGTTATTCAAATTTTTTATCTTACAAAAGGTATAGTACTTATTACTCCATATAAAATAATTTATTCACAATGAGGGATCAAAGCATATAAAGTATAATTTTATCTCCCCTTCTGAGTTTCCTTGGTACTATGTTTTGGTTTTATTATGAGAGAGTAGCTATAGATGCACCAATATTCCCATCAGAATCGCTACTGCAATTTGCAGCAACTTGAACACTTTCCTGTTGCATCAAAACTCCAGCCTTCACATTAGCCTCAATTTCCTTAGGTTGCCTGGTTGCCCAACTTCAACATTCATTTTTTAATTGTATTTGATCGATCAGCAGCCTCATCCAAAGCACCAACATTGAAAATCACCTCTGCCCCGTCTTGTTTGTGCGCCAGCAGTGGGATGATCAACTACTGATTTTTGAACTTGCTGAACATCTGCCTCATCACCTGTAGCAAGTGCACCATTTAAAGCAGCCACACCAATTGTATTCACAGCATTAACAGCCTTCAAACTTGAACTCCCAACCTTTGAAAACATTCATCACAGCAATAGGACTTTGATTTTGAGACTTCACAAACGCTGCTACTTCCTTCACCATCTTGTAACTCCTTCAGATTACCAGATGCCCCAGCCTGCTGTTGAACCATATCAGGTGTGTTTGAGGTATTAGCTCGATCAACAGCAGCCTTCAATGCACCAGCAGTAGCTGTGTACATCCTCGCAAAAATCGTAGCAGCGGGAATATCCTTCAACCTCCTATCCTCTTCAGTTGGCTTTCTTGACCTGCTCCACACCTACACCCTCAATCTTTTGCCCAGCTTCAACTTGACCTGAAGCAGCAGTAATGTCACCTGAAGCAGCAGTATCCTTCAACTTGTGTTGGTTACAAGAAAAAGAATTTTTTTTCTTTAGAGGTTTTTTCTAGATGTCCAGATAATATCTTTTGATGGACACTTTTGATGACCTTCATCACCTCTCTTTTGATGACCTTCATCACCTCTCTTTTGATGACCACTTGTCCTTTGAAATTATTTGTGCAAAATCCCAGTACATATGCTATCCCATTCTAACCTGCCCTAATAGTTTTCCTTTTCATTAGAGTTATTTGCTGCTATTTTATCTATATTATTCTCACTATTCTAGCTTAGTGTCACTTTCTAACGGAAATTATATACAAAATTTATCAGTCGAGAATAAAGCTTATCAACACTTTAGTTGTATGGGATATCCTGATATTTACACCAGAATCTGATATTCATCTGAAATGGCCTCTCTACTGTCATAAGGTAGGGGTAAGGTCTGCGTACACTTTACCCTCCCCACCCCAGTTATGAGATTTCACTAGGTTTGTTTTTGTTGTTGTTGTTTGAATCTGATATTCATCTGAATATCTCTCAGATGATGGATATAAATTCTTTTTCTCATCTCCCTAAAGTGAGTCATCTTTGATACTTCAGAATACAACCAGTATTTTTTCTAATGTTCCAAGATTTGTTGGTATATACTTGGACATTTAACTTTATTTAATTAAAACTCCTCTAGTTGTCTTGTAAATTATCCGTGGAGTAACTCTACCTTGGTTTGAATGCATTGCTCTTGAATTCACGGCATTAGAGTTAGTTGCTGCTATATCATCTCGATTACTCTCAGTCTTCTAGCTTAGTGTCACTTTATAGTGGAAGATTATATGCAAAATTTATCAGACGACAAGAAAGCTTATCACACTTTAGAACTATATGGGATATTCTGATAGTTACACCAGAATTTGATATTCATCCGAAATATCCCTCAGAAGATGGATAGAAATTCTTTCTTGTCTTCCTAATGTAGTCATCTATGGTGCTTCAATATCTCTCAGACGATGGATAGAAAATCCTTTTCTTATCTCCCTTAAAGAGAGTCATCTATGGCGCTTTACTATACGACCTGTTACTCTTTCTTTTATTCCAGGCTTTGTTGGTGAACACTTGCACTTCTATTGTAACTTCCTCTGGTTGTCCTGTAAATTATTCGCGAAGTATCTTTCCAATGGCGTCGATGCACTGATCTTGAAGTCACGGCCTAGTTATGTAAAAATTATGATTGTGAAACATTATTCATTTGTTGCTTGCATAAAAGTTGCAGAACTTCCAACAAAAAATGTCACTTTATCAGGTGTATAGTACCTCATTGTTTAAATCCAGTATTATCAAAGGCGAAAAGCGCAAAAAAGCTCTAAGGTCTATTAGGGCTTTAAGCGCAAATAAAGCGTGGCCTTCAATTAAAAAAGTCTCAAATGGAGAAAAACTACAAATATGTATGTGTAGTCCAAGACTAATATCAGTAAGCATGAATACCAAATATAAGAATAAAGAAATTGAAGAAAATTTACGATAAAGTAAAATATCAATTGCTTAGTGTCGCCTGTTCTACAAAGGAGAAAAACTACAAATGGTACTACTTACCATTTATCTCTCCCTTTTTCTTTTCTCTTCCTTTTTTCTTCCTTTCTTGCTTTCCTCTTCTTCTTCTTACCCTTCTTCAGCTGATGGTCTATTGGAAACAACCTCTCTACCTGCATTAGGTAAGGATAAGGTCTGCGTACAAACTACCCTCCCCAGACCCCACCTTAGTAATTGAAAAATGTTCTTTACTTTTAGTTATATTATGAGATCTGACAAAAATTTATCTATATTCTTTGTAGGCTCAAATCAAGGAATTGGTGCAGTCCGAACCGTCACTTCCTACCATAGATTTTGTAGAAAAATGCTTTGGACCTCAAAGTTGTAGTCATGTATTTGGCTTGGGGGGTGGAGTAAAGGCAAAAGATTTGAAAGGTGGAACTTTCTCAAAAATTGAATTATTGGCTAAGCTACGTGCAACTGAAAATGAAAACCAGTCTTTGAAGGATCGTCTGTCTAACTTCGAAAATGAGATGAAAGAAGTGAGGCAATTAAAAGAATTATTATTAGCACAACAAACCTATTTCCAGCCTCCAGTTTAGGAGAATGACTATTCGGATCCTTGATGTACCAAGTGAGTAACAACTTACCTGAAACATCGATTTATTTTGTTGATTTAAGTGTATATTATTATATATCCTTTGCGGAATTTATATCTTCTGTTGATTATAAATTTGTCCTTATCTTTCTTTTTAGCCTTTTTTTCCCTAAGATAAAATATGCCTTCTTATACACACATATAGCATCAACAAACAGGGGAAAATATCACTTCCAAACAAGTAAACAATTAAGTTTTCATCGTCGTTTAACAGTAAGTTTTCAGTTTCAAATCACAGTGATAGACACCCCTGCTACGGAAAAAATCTACAAAATTTATCAAGGGTTATAGTTTCAACTTAATGATGAAAGGAAGTCCATGGGGCATCTTGCCATCTGAAACTAGAGGAAAGGCTACATTGAAGTTTTGTTAGGGTGGATCAGAAATAGTCTTAGCTTGCTTGAATCATTGTTTGGTAAAACAATGATAGTTCACTAGAAAGCTGGTACTTGTTTGCTAAATAATATTGGTATTACCAGTAATAAGTGGTTAAAGGATCTGCATTGTGTCCTAGTTGAAACTGAAGCAGTCCTTTTTCATCCTTCTGTTATCTTCTTTTATATTAGGTTCAATTGAAGAATTAAATAGTCGTGTATCAGCCGACTCCATTCCATGCATTTACTACTAACTCAGAACATTCTTGGTAAAAAAATTAGGATGACTGAGCTCTCATACTTCAACACAAAATGGTCCTTGCCAGATAGTGACCTATTCTTAACTTTTGCAGTCTTCTGATTTTGTGGACCCTAGCATGGGGTTTTACGCTTTTAAATTACCTGGTCTTTAGGTGTAAAATGGACAACACAAGGTTACGTATCATCACTATCAATTTTTTGATCACATTCCTTATAGTCTTGTATATTTCAATGAACTCCTGAAACTACTTAAACATGAAGAAAGGATTGACAATAAAGACAAAGCATATGAATGTTTATTTTTATTTTCTTAAATACATAATTTCTAATGCATTCACAATGCGCATATTCGTGGTCTTTTAACTTGTGACATGTTCTAATAACTTGAGGAGCCTTCGGCATATCCATAAATCTGTCCAAAACTTGATTCTTTGTCCATATGATAAGGAAATTTCAGAATGAAACTAGACCAAAATATTCAACACCTTACAAGATTTCAATGAAACTTCAAGAAGCGTAAGGCCGTAAGTATTGATGCAGCTAAAATACAATCATGTTAGATGAGTTTGCATAACATTTTTCCAGATGAGTAACTTATGAATCGTTTTGGAAGTACATCTGAGGAGTGACAATGCAACTTATATACTTAACCTGATAATTGCTCATTACCACCAAAGTTTCTAAACTCCTTTGACTGTCCACTTAAAGTCAAAGACATTCGTGAGTTAGTTTGATCTCAATAGAATGTCTGAATAAGCAGTATGCATGATAATGAAAATCTTCTTTGAAGTCTACCCTGAGAGAACCTAGAATGCATTTTTGGTTGTAAATTTCCTCATTAGTAGTGTAAGTTTCATAGCTCATTTGGAAGAATATCTTTCTCGGCCCCAATTGTCTGTTTTTACACTTCCTTTTCATTTTAATTCTTTTGAAGCTAGGTTGGGTTTGAGCTGCTAAGGACCTGTTATCTAACAGTGTATTTTACTTAAAATTGTAAATTTCTCATAATATCAGAATTTAACAGATCTTCATTTGATTCAGTTCTAACTCTGCCAAAATTAGGTGGTATTGTCGCGCTATTTGCTTGCTTGGGTGTTCAGCTTGCAATGGTTTATCCCCTATATACTTTGGTATGCTGTATCTAGCTCAAATAGTTTACACAATAATAAATGGCTGAAAGATAATATTAAATGTATGAATAGAAGTAAGCAATTAATGACAAAAATTCCTGAAATTTGAAGGAAATTTTATGGAGTCCTTACATTTCGAGTTGCTCTGGCTAACTTTGAAGTTTTATGAGTTTACCTGTCTTAGTCTAGGAGAAGATCAATAAAGTAACGGAAAGCCCCAGTTAGAAGATGTTTACTGTATGTGATAATGGAAAGATGGCCCAATCTTGCTATATTGGTTGAAGTTGGCTAATTACTTACTCCTTTAAGTTGAAAAGATCATTGCCGGATGGAAGTAATCATGTCCTTTTAGTCCGAAACTGTCTTGCAAGGCTACGGCTTCAATTTCATTTCACCAGATGTGTGAAGAAATCATTAGTTGCATATAGAACAGCACCCTGGCACTTCATTCGAAAAAGACCAAGTATGTTCCCTTCTTCTGTAAGTAAAGTAATCTGTCTTATTTATGGAGTGAGTTTATGTTAGAACCAGATCATAAGTTTGAAATCTGTAGTAAGAGCAGAACAAATAACAGATTGTGATTTGCTGCATTAAGTTAAACTATTTGTCTCAATTCTTTGTCCCTATATATAGCTTAAGGCAACTTTTTCAAGTGATGAAAGGGAACAATGGTGTCTAGCCATTAATTTTTTTTTGCTTCTTTTTTCTCTGTGTAGCCCTGATTTTGTTCCATCTACCTTGTTATAGTTTTTCTAAATAAAATTTCTTATTTCTTCTACAGGTTTAGGATATTGAAGTTCAAGATGCAGATTTTTTATGACATACTGATTGACCATCTTTTTGCTGGGAATGTCAAAAAAATTTTACATGTCAATCGAGGGATATTAGTGATATATAGTTTTTTGCTAAATGTTTATGAACACATTGTGACTAGCTTACATCATTGATGTACGGTGCAACTAACTGATGTTTATCATTTTTGGTAATATTTTATGAAAACATATCATCTATATAATAATATATTCGATTTTGTAGTTGCAAATTGAATGTGATTTAGGGAATTACTTGTTTCTTTTGGGACTAGACTGTTAGTCCTTAAATCCTTTTTTGGAGTAGAAAATTTGGTTGCTAAATCTGTAGCTTGGTAGTGCTGCTTTGTTCGACTTAGCGACCAGCTTTAAACTTCTCGCAAAAGATATAACGGCTAGCTTCTAACTAGTCGCGAAAGTACTATTTAACGACCATATTTAAATTGGTCGCAAAAATATTCTAAGGACCAGGAATTTAGTCCCTAAAATATGCAAATAGGCACCAGAAATATGGTCCTTAAAAATCATTTAAGGGCTAGTTTTAAACTGGTCGCGAAACAGTTTTAACGACCAACACCACATCTGGTCCTTAATGACCTTTAGCGGCGGAAGCTATAAGGACCAGATTAGCTAGTCGCTATTGATCATTTGAGACCAATTTCTTACTTTTAGGAACCGCTCCGCTATTGAGCATTTTTCTTGTAGTATGTTAAAAATCAGAAAAGCTTTGAAATGACTTAACAGAACCCTAAGTCGGAAACGGTAAAGGTTTTGAAGGTAAAGTTTTGAAAGAAACTTTGAGAAAACGTTTAAAAGCTCAGAGAGAACACAGATCTCAGAGGAACCTCGAAGGTTAGGGTTTCGGAAGAACTCAGATGGTGAGAAAGGCTAGGAAAGTCATTGATCTAAGCATGAGAAGTCAAAATCAGGCTTGAATAGTCATGGCTGGCCGGAGCAAGGTCGGAGACAACCATAAAACTCGAATGAAATGAAGTCTGGGCCAAGCTTCTTCAAGGTATGACCTTGAAACCATAGCAGTCGAGCATGTAGGAGTCGCAGGAGGCAGGTATAGGCATTTAATGGCTTTGGAAACCATGGATTCCAGCGATTTTAGGGTGGAAGCGAAGGGAGGCGGCTAGGGTTTGAGAGAGGGTTGAGAGAGAATTGAGAGAGAAAGGGATTCAGAGGCGGCTGGGGTTGTGAAATGGTTAGAATTAGGGGTTAGGTCGGGATTAAAAAAGGAAAGGGTGTTTGGTGGCCGTTGATCATTTTGATCAACGGCCTGGATTAATCGGATAGGTGGGGCGGTTTAACAGGGTTGGGTTTGGGTCGGTTCAAACAGGGATTGGGTTAGGGTGATTGGGTTTAAAAATTGGGTTCAATTGAGGTGCCAAATCAGGCTACAATTGAAATGAACATGGACTATCATTTAAATAGTCATTTTCCCTCATTTATTTTATAAAAATATTAAAATAATTTCTGAAAAAAAAATAAAGGTACTAAAATGATTAATAATACATAATTATTAAATTAAAAATACGGGAGTCGATTTTGTAAATACAATTATAATTAAATCTTGAAAGAGGCCAATATTGCAATTATATGCAATTTAGCTTTAAAAATATTAAATAAATTTGTAAAATATGCAAAAATTATGCTAGCTATATTTTAATATAAATGTGAGAATACAATAAATGAATCACCCAAAATGATAATTTTGGGGATAATTACTGGGTTTTGTTTTGATAAAATAGGGCAATAAATTGATTTAAAAAATCTTTAAAAGTTAAGAAAAAATAATAAAACTTTGGGACATACTTATATATGCACATACATGCTATTTTGAGAGTATTTTGTATATTACAAATATACAGGGAAAAATTGGGTATCAACAAGGGGTAGCTGTGAGCACGTAATTTTTGCTCGATGAAAAATACTCCTACAAATTCACAAAAAGTAGATTTGTTTTAAATATTATTAATTTTTATAGAAGTTTTAGGAATTTCTTGCTAATTGTTGTCTGCATTTTTAGTTGCATGTATATTTTAAAATTATAAGAAAATACCAAAAAATATCTAAAATATTCTTTGCATAACATTTCAAGTTTATTTGCATTTAGGAATTAATTAGATTGAGTTAATTACATTATTAAAACAAAAAATCACAAAAAATAATGTTCATTTTATATTTTTTTTTACCTTTTAGTGTTTAATTAGTAATTTTCTTTCATTAATTTAGGATTAACTGATTATGAAAATAGTATAAATAGATAATTAGTTTATTTTACAAATTAGATTGATTTGAGATTAATTTAGGATTTTATTTAATTAGGAATTAAATTCAAAAAAAATAAAGAAGAAGAAAAAGGGGGCTTTATTGAGTTGGAATTGGGCTAAAATGATGTTCAAACAACCAATTTCTACAATTTCCGCCCCAGCCCAATTGAAACCCAACCGTCACAGTCCCCCTCCTACCAAAAATGACCCCGTTTTGACCGGGCCAATCCCAGCCGTTAATTTCCCACCATCCAACGGCTGAGAACTGATCTCCACCTCCTCTTATAACTGTCAGAAGGAGACCCTTACCCCCAAAGATTCCCCCTCCTTCCGTCTCTCTCATCTCTCTCATCACCCTTCAAAACCACTGCTAGAACCGCCGCCGGAAATCGCCCAAGGCGGCGGGCCACCACCAAATGACCCTATTTTTAACCAGACAATCCTCATCACCCCCTGAATCCTAAACCCCCATCAATTTCAACAAAAACCACCCAAACTTTACCAATTTCAAACCTTAGAACACCAGAAACCCTAGCTTTCTCTTTTCGGATTTTTTCTGATTTTTCAAGACTCGATTTGATCGAAACCTACGCTAGTTGATTGTTCTCGACGAGAACGATTAATTAGCGTTATTTTTGGTCTATTTTCGAAGAATTTCGAATTCACCGAAGTCCATTCAAGCCAACCATCCTTGTTGCCTACCCTAGGTATCCCTATTTCTCTTTGTTGATTTCCTCTTTTTTTCTTTCTTCTATTTTTTCTTTCTTGCTTGTCTGACCAGAATGTGCGACTAATGTGTTCATTGGAGGTCATTCGATAATTTCGATTCAGTCAGTATTTAGCTTAGAATCCAATGGTTAGTTTGACTTTAATTACCCCTTAAACTCGCTAAACTGTTGTTTAAAGTGATATTAATAACATAATTAGTTCAATTTCTTGTTAATCAATTTATTTGCATGAGTTGTTAGTCTAACCAATTTCAAGTTAATTAGTTGCTAAATGGTTTGGTCTTGCATTACTGCTTTTGTTTTGATCTGTATGGTTTTGCAATGGTTCATTCATCGTTAACCAAAAGTTGAAAGGGATGTTTGGGAATAGAAATAAATTGTTAATTCAGTTGTTTGAGCTTATTTACTCTTTTGGGGTGGTTATTTGTAATTAATAGAAAGCTAAAGGGGTCTAAAAGGAACATGAAAGTTTAGGGCATAGAAAATTAGAAACTAGGGTGGCTATTTGTGTTAAGCAGAACTTAAAGAGGTCAATTGGGAAGTAAAAATGGAGGAGTTTCAGGTAAAAATATCAAAAGCTTCTAGTATTGGACAACTGTCCATTTTTAGTGTTAAAAAGATGTTGAAAATTGGATAAAGGACAGTTGTACCAAAATCTGTTAAAATGATGTTGTCCTATCCTTTTTTACAGTTGACACCCTAAAATATATGTTGGAATATTCTCCATCAGACCTTCTCTCATTTTTATCCTTTTCATACCCCTACACTCTATATAAAGAAGCTGATCTTCACTCACACAGAGAGGTTAATGATCAGTATACTCGCTCTAAAATGCATCTTTGAATATTGATTTTTATTTTTCTCTTGAGCTTTTCAAATCAGATATAGAAACAGAAAACAAAACAAAAAAAAAAGTTCTCAAGGAGTCAAGACCCAAATCTACCCTGTCGTGATGGTGCTTATCGTGGAACTAGGCAAGCCGACTCTTCTACCCAAAATAGTCCGATATTTCAATTTAAAGATTTCTTCAAGCTATTTGAACAATAAAACTTTATAAGATAAATCTGAATATCAAAGTGCGGAAAGAAAAGCCCGACATCAAGGTGTCACTAGTCATGAACATCTATTAAGAACTGTTCGATAATACTAAGACTACTACAATCTGGAAACCAACTAATAACATCTATAGGAAGATAAGAGGGAGAAGAGTAGGGTTGGATCGCCATGCAACTACCTTGCTAACTCCAACAGATCCGCGACGGATGAAAACAACACTCACTAGCACATTCAGCAACCCCTGGATCTGTACATAAGCTGCAGGGAGTAATGCAAGTACGCCAACTCAGTAAGTAATAAAGGTAAATAAAGTCTGAGCAGTAGTGACAAGCAATAAAACATATACTATTCATGTCATGAAACCTTAGTAGAATAACAACATGCTTTTAAAATCAGGGTTTTGAATCAACTCAGCTCATTTAAATCAGTTTTAGTAAAACCATTTAAAACATCTTTCAACAGTTTTCAAACGAAGTGATAAAACAGTAAGTAAAAATGATGAAAACATAATCAGCCTCTCGAGCAAAACTCACTCGTATACACCCCCTCGGGGAACATAAATCATAAATAACTTCTCAGGCAAACATCACTCGTATACAGCCCCGCGGACAAACATGAATCATAAACATCCCATCGGGAAAACATCACTATCTCTCATATACAGCCCCTCGGGCATACATCACAATCACTCGTAAAAAGCCCCTCGGGCACAACATGAATCAATAACAGCCCCTCGGGCAAAACATCATATCACTCACTCAGGGTACTCGCGCTCACTGGAGGTGTATAAACTCCGGAGGGGCTCATATAGCCCAAGCGCTATAACAAGTCACCTCGTGGTATAAATCAATCAGGCCCTCGGCCTCATAACAAGCCACCTCGTGGCATAAATTAATCAGGCCCTCAGCCTCACAAAATCATGAATCAGTAACAACATATTGCAGCGTGCAGCCGATCCCACAAATATCCTCACAAATATAGGCCCTCGGCGTCACTCAGTCATAAATCTCTCAAGCCACTCGGGCTATTGGTAAAACATGGTACTCAGCCCAAAATAACATTTTAAAGCATCAAATGGAGTAATAAAGACTGAGTTATGAAATCAGTAAGTATAACGTGATTGAGTATAGATTTCAAATCA